TACAATATGGTATGACTAAGAGAAACGTGTGTTACATGGTGTGTTTAGAATTTTGATGCAAATCAATGATAAGTTGAATTGGTAACATTTCATTTTGGATATTCCAAAAATAGACGATTTAATGAATAAAATGAACGTTCATTATAAATATGAATGAAATTTAATGAAGAAAATTCTACAAATTGTTTTGTAAAAAAAGAAAAAGATAAAAAAAAAACAACGATATTCTAAACCATGCGAATAATTAAACGTCTCGTTTATCTGTTTAATTTTATATCGGTCAAGAGAATAAAAAATGTCTATAATAAGTAACGAGTAGGAGTTTTTCCGCGAATTCCATTTTTTTTTTTTTTTTTTCCCCACTAACTCTCTGACCTACGATTATAAAAATCGATCGAGAAAGCGACACATTACGTTAATTAAATTCACGAGCGAGGAAAAACGTTTCAATTGAATAATATTTGAAAGAAGACAAAAAAAATTAATGTCCATAAAATAAAGTTAAAATAATAACGAAAAAAAAAAAACAAAAAAAATGATATATCATGATACGTGCAAAAGAATTCAAGAAAAGGAAGAAAAAGAACAAAGAGAAAATAAAATAAAATGAAATGGAGTTTAAATTTCGCGGTATAGGGTGCGCCGACCAATAGCATCAAAGCAAAGTAGGCAGGGAGTCAAACGCGCGCACTTCCGCCATTTCCGTCAGTTGTCCAAAGGCTTTCGTGGCGTGCGGACGTATACCAGTGTGTTATAGTGAAATCATTCCCTGTCATCGTTACGGAGTCGCGTTTTCGCTAACGAACGCATCACCGTATCTTTTATATTCAATGTGTATGGCGATTCAGGTGAGTTTTATTTTACGATATCAAATTAAATATTTATAAAAATATAAACATTTATTTAGTGATGAAATATATTATAAAAAGCTGATAAAATATCAGGAAAAATGTGTGTTCCCAATATCCGTGCGTGCTTATTGGTCGCCACGTTCTCTTTTTCAAAGAAAGGAAAGTCAATTCCAATTGTAACGAAAATACACGCGAAGCTATTTTACCGATTTTATTTCTCTCAGTGGGAGGGGGGGGATGAAAATCAAAGTGCTACACATTAAAAAAAGAAAAAGCGAAAGAAGAAGAAGAAGAAACGTTTACGAGAAAAAGAAAAGAAAAAAAAAAAGAAAAAAGAAAATATAAGATGAAGAAAGGCCTCGACTCGCGCTCGTGCGAGATATGTGCATATACTGTGTGTGTGCGCGTGTATGTGTATATGTATACGTGATAAGTGTGTAGGAAGGGTTCGGTGTTTCGCGCACCGTTTCTCTGACGTAGGTTAATCGTCTTCTCTCTCTCTCTCTCTCTTTTTTCTTTCTCTCTTACTCTCGTTCGTGTTCGCGTTTCGTGATTGTGTGGTCCGTCGTGCGCTGGAGAGCACACGCGCGCCACCTTGTACACTTCCCTACACATATACTAATAAATGCACACGTACAATGTGAATCGCGCCATTTGTGAGGTACGGTGAACTAACACTAATATGCATCAAGAAATACACATACATATTATACACATGAACAAGAACATGCACATACATTTACATTTACAATACTTTCAAGCTACCTCATTCGACGCGCATCTCTCTTTCTCTTTCTTACTCGAGAGTTATATATATGTATATATATAGTTCATGTGTGTATGTATTATAAGTGGTTAGTGTGTATATGTGTTTGCGTGTAGTGGTGCGGACGACGAACTCTGGCGTGTCCCGTCGAAAGCCGGCGTCGGCTCTCCTCGTCCATCTTTTTCTCTCTCTCTCTCTTTCTTTCTTTCTCTGTCACGAACATGCACATATATATATATGTATATATATAGATATTTTATATATATACATGCATACATATTATATATATATATATATATATATATAGCTTTCTTCCTCCGCTTATATTTTCCTTCTATTTTCTACTCCTTTTTTCACACGCCCGTACGTATATATATATATGTGTGTGTGTATATCCTTAAAAGGAAATTTTATTGGTATCCTTTTCCTATTTTTCTTACTTCGTAAAAGAGACTACTAATCGTTGGAAGGAACTAAATAAAACACTGGATAAATAAAATAGGAAGTATAGTCACTGAATTTTCTTTCTTTCTTTCTTTATCTTTTCTACCTGTTTCATTTTTATTTCTTTCTTGCTTTAGTATTGTGAAAGAAAAGAAGGAAAGAAGAAAGAAAGAAAAGTCGAAGGGCGCGTCAAGTAGGGAAAGGATATGGATGGACTCTCTGTGGTGTGTACTGTGATGGTGGTGGTGGTGGTGGTGGTGGTGTTCATCCTTTCTCTCCAATGAAATTTCTTAATCTCTTAAAACCTCTCTTCCAATTTTCCAAACTGTACTTTACTTTCTTCTTTATTCTTTTTATATTTTTTCTTTGATTTTTATCTTTTACCAAACTCAACCATAACCTATGACTATAATAATAATAATAAAACAACGGTGCTTTTCTGTAGGAAAGAAAACAAGTTTTCTATATTTAAGTTATTTATTTATTTATTCTCTTTTTTTTTTTTTTGAGGTTAGTTTTTTCAACAGCCTTCTATTTAACATTTAAATAATACTCGTGAACGATCTTTATGAGATATTTATATATGTGTTGTTACTTATATTTTATTTTATTATTTAACATAATTATTTACACATGTGTTCATTGTATGTGTATGTATGTATGTTTACTATATACAAGTGCACTTTTATTTATTTTGTTTTAAATCATTAGTTTTTATTTGTTAATGTCTTCCTATGAAAGATTAACGTTTTCAAATCTAAATTTCAATTTATTTATTTATTCTCTTTTTTTTTTTAGGTTAGTTTTTAAATGGACTTCTATTTAACATTTAAATAATACTTCACAATATTTCAGATAATACTCGTGAACGATCTTTATGAGATATTTATATATGTATTGTTACTTATATTTTATTTTATTATTTAACATAATTATTTACACATGTGTTCATTGTATGTGTATGTATGTATGAATGTATGTATGTTTATTACTATACAGATGCATTTAACATTTTATTTCTTTTTTTTAAACTTGATAAATTTATTGTCTTTTAAATCATATAATTTGATCTTTTAATATCTTGTTATAAAAGATTAAAGTTATAAAAAAAAAATATATATATATAAATTTCATATGGAAAATTTCCAAGCTTTTTATCAGATCACCTTTGTATTATACTTAATCTTTATTTATTGCAATGAGAAGTAAAAAAAAATAAATAAAATGTTATTGCATTTATTATCAGTTCAGGAATACCCAGTTAACATTCTTTTCTTGTATTTTTTATTTTACATTACATTACATTACATTACATTACATTACATTATATTATATGTATTTTTACTTTTGTTTTTTATGTTGTTGTTTGTGGCATACACACACACACACACACATTGTTGTTAAACACGTTCATTTCAATAATTTCGACGAAATTATTGGATTCGATGAATCGTTGAAATAAATACAATGGGGATTTCAATTAAAATTGAAATTTGGGTTAAAACAATATTGATTTGTATTCATTTTCATGTTAACAAAAAAACACATATGATGATATCTTAATTATATATGTAACATTTGAATTAATTTTTTTTGTTAAAAATAAAACAAAACAATTAATAACATATTTTATTGTAATAATTAAATAAAAGAAACAATTAATGTGTTTTTTTTTTACATATTTATTACTTTAAATGTAATATTGAATTATAATTACATTATGTATAATAAATGGTAAATATGAATATAACAATTTATTCCTTTTTATTGTAACAATTAATTTGTTTTACATATTACTAATTTGATTAATGTGAATATAATAATTTAATAACTTGTTAGCTTCAATATACAAAATTAGATATATACATATATATATAATAATTATTGAAATGATATCAAATGTATTACAACATATGTCATTATTTGTAATATTCATTTAATTTATTGATTATTCAATAATTTATTAATGAAGTAAAACAGATAATTAAAATCATACGATCAAGGTTGTTATTAATTTATTATTAACGTGTCATGTGTTTGTGTGTATATGTGTGATTAACCATTTGATTATGATAGAATCAATACATGTGTGTATATACATATATTATGATAAATAATACATCAAGTACACATTTATTATTTACATAGTTTAGTGAAGAATTGCATAGGTTTATAAACCATATTGCATTTATGCATTATTCATATCACACAATTTAGTCATACGTTACTAATATGCACAATATTGATCCTAATAAAATGTTAATTAATTAATAATTAATTTAGAAATTGTTTATATACTATTTGCAACATTTAGTAAAGTAAGAAGAAATTATTGGATTTGAATTTGACAATGATTTGATTGGTCATCGAATTTTACAATTGATTTATTTATAAAATTACTTAAATTAAATTAATAAAAATTACATTTTAAATGCAATTGATTAAAATAGTAATCCTTTCTAAATTTAACCAATACTTGCAATTAATTAAATTAAATTAAATGCAATTGATTAATAATACTAATCTTTTCTAAATTTGACCAATACTTGCAATTAATTAAATTAAATTAAATGCAATTGATTAATAATACTAATCTTTTCTAAATTTAACCAATACTTGCAATTAATTACATTAACTTAATAACAATGGCATTAAATTAAATTAAATGCAATTGATTAAAATATGAAAATTATTATTATTATTATTATTATTATTATTATTATTATTATTATTATTACTATTATTTAATCAATTACATTGACCTACTAAGAAAACTTAGTAATAAATAAAATATTAACTAACATAATGCACATGGTGAATGCATCCTACGTTGAATAAAAAAAAAAAAAAAAGATAAAAATCTTTTTAGAAATAGGATAACGTAAACGTATGCATGTTTTTTTTTTGTTTTGTGAGTATATTTATTAACAAACAAACAAACAAAATAAAAAATGAAAGGAAACCTTGCCAATGCATTCAACAACGTGCACTTTAAGATAATAACGTTTACTTACATTAACATACATACATACACACACACACATACACATATATGTATACGTGCATACTCTATTCTAATATAAAACATTGTCTACATTATCTGTCTTTCATCTGACTGTTGCAATTTAGTTTTGTTTATGCTACTAATCCTTTTTTAAACAAGACGAATGTGTGTTGGTGTATGGGTGGTTGAGATTGGTAGGCTAGGAATGTGAGTTGAGTTTATTTACTTTTTCTTTTTGACTTTATAATTTTTAATCCTTTTTTCTTTTTCTTTTTATTTTTTTCTTTTTATTTTGCCATCGTTAAGTTTCACCTTTTTACCTCTTTTCCACCTCGTATATTCGTTACATTTAAATTTGCATATGTTACGTATAAAGGAGTTATACTTTAACAACGAGTGTATATGTATAGAATATGTGTACATATATGTATATGTACGGTGATGTATTTTTATATTTATTATATATAACACACGATTGTAAATACTTTTCTTTTTTAATTTTGATTTTTTTGTTTTTTTCATTTTTTTTTAATTGTACATTTGTTCGTCGTATTATAATTATAGCCATTAATTTAGAGTCATTAAAATGATATAATCAAATTATCATCTTATAATACAAAATAATATTTAATTGTTATTATTATTATTTTTATTAGAATTATTATTATTATTTGTTCCTTTTATTTTATTTATTTATTAGAATAGTTATATTATTATAATTTTACTAATTATTTAATAGTAATTAAAATTAGTATTAAGATATAACCAAATCATCATCTTACA